CTTTCTACCAGGAAATTTATTTCTTGTATGTATCTTGTTTTTGTAATAAAACATAATAGCATTATAATAATAGCACAAAATAAACTTCACCTTATTTTAACTATCATATTAACTTATAGGATTCATTGCACCCTTAAATTTAAGAAGCTTTTCATAGCACTCAAAGAATTGGAGAGCAGTTCTCTCCCAAAGCAGGTGGTTTTTCTCCCTCTTGGTGGATGTGAAACTTGACTGGATTAATGGAGATTTTATAAATTTTTGTCTTAGAAAACCAAAGTTTTAGACAGAGAGCCACTCCATTTCAGAAATTCTGAGTAAATACTTAAAAAAAAAAAAAAGAACCAGCACCCATGGGGGCAAGTGGACCAATTCTCAGATGATACTGGTGTACTGGGAGCCTGCTCTTGGTAAATGGTGGTGAATGGCCCATAGTGCACAGCTCTCTAAGCCTGTCCTTATGGAGCCAGAGTGTTGGATCTCACAATATATAAAATTACACTAACAGAGGAATTGGTTTTAAATTTTAGGAGAAAAAAGAAAAATACTTTAAAATCTTAATATTTATTTAACCCTTTTTGGACATCTTCAACAAAAGCCTGTAACTAGTAAAACATCTTCTGTTCTATGAGGAAGCCAATCTTGACATCAGTTAGTGCCACATTGAATATGTTTTGGTAAAATGAGACCACACAAAAGTGATTCCTTAATCTACAAAGGAAATAACCCATATAACAGGCATGATCTTTACGTTTTTGCATGCACTGATTTTTTAAAAATGTGCTCCCCTATTTTTTTTTTCTTTCATGCTCAAAATCATGTAGAATCTTAGCTTCTTGAGTCCCTTGGATGCAAACAGCGGTTACAGAAAGAGAATAAAATAACTGATTTTTTAAATGTTTCCATAGGTTCCATTTGGATATCCTTATGTATATTTTATGTTCCACATGTATATATTCTATATAGTTTGATTACAGCTCTAGGCTCAGCATTGAAAAGCATAGTGATGGTTTTATAGAAAAGAAAAATAAAGAAATGGTTAATTCAATAAAAAGTAAAATGTTTAGTGTTTTTAATATAACTCTAGTCCAACAGTGTAAATTGTTATATCTTAGCTGAGTAGAGTGACATTTCAAATTTTGGAAAGTGCCACAATATTATACAAAGTTTTGTTTAAGGAGGGTGTGGTCAACAGGAAATAAAAAAATGAAAGAATAAAATAAAATAAGGCTAAGCAATTAATCACCCTGTTGTGTTTAAGCCCACATCTGTAGCATTTAGAAGAATGGCAGTAATTCTAAATATAGTAAAATATAGTAATTCAGAAATTTTAAAAAAAGGAATTTTAAAAATGCAAACTATAGCAGTGGAAAAAGAGTAAAGTGAAGATGTGAAGTTATCTGTGATTTGTATAGGAATTCTCATCTTTGTCATTTTAGGTGCTTTCCCAGGAGAGTCCTTGACACTCATTTTAAATATTGGCCACAACTTATAAAAAATAATAACACACTCACCAAAAAAAACTTATACTATTTGAATCAATGTTGTATATTCCAAAAAAAATGTATCTGCCTTGTGGATGATGACTACAGATGTTAGCTTTCAACCAGTACTCTAGGGGGTGCTAAAATGTCTAATTTGTTGTGAGCAGAATTGGCTGCAGTCATGTACTAGTTCAAATAGAAGGGCTGAATATAGAAGCTCAAGACTTTTCCTTGAATCTCGGCCACTCTGTTGTCACAAATATCCCATGAAATAATTTGAGGCCTAGTATGGTAGGTTGATTGATTGATTGACTGACTAAATAATTGTGATATATCTAAAGATGCTATCTGAAGAAAGGGGTCCATTTGCTTTTTAAATATGGTTTTCTAAGTTGCTGACTTGAGGAGTTAGATGCCCAAGTCACACCTCATAAAATACTTGTACATAGGATTTTCATTCAAAAGCCAGAAATGAACTTGATTAAATATCCAACAGTCAAAATGCAGCCAAGTTTTTAGTAATAAAGACAATATACCTTATTTAATATCTATCTTGGCCATAAATATAACTTTTCAAAAGATAAACAGATTTATGAACCTACTTGTCTGTTCTCACTTCAGGGAAATTGTAGCAGTTGTAATGAGGTAAATACTTAACATATAGTTCACTTTTCTTTAGTGAAGCCATGAATATACTCATTCAGAGTTCAAAGACGTGAGAAACAACTTTTAACTTGAAAAGATGGAGGTTAAACGTCTAAAAGATGGGATGAGTTTTGTGGTTCAAGTGCCCCCAGAATCTTACTTTCTTGATGTGGAAAATGGGTCAGAATGGATAAGTGGTCTGTCTACATGTATTTGGTTAATGAGCAAATCAGCTAAGGCCTTTCACAGCTTCCATATGCATATCTGTAACTAGGGTTATATTAAAAACACTAAACATTTTACTTTTTATTGAATTAACCATTTCTTTATTTTTCTTTTCTATAAAACCATCACTATGCTTTTCAATGCTGAGCCTAGAGCTGTAATCAAACTATATAGAACATATACATGTGGAACATAAAATATACATAAGGATATCCAAATGGAACCTATGGAAACATTTAAAGTCTTCTCACAAACATTGATTCAATTTTCATTAAAGTTTTACTAGATTTTATGGTTTGATTTTCATTCCCCAAATGTTCATCTCAATTAAAAAATTCTCATAATACAACTTTCCATAATATAAATATTTCATGATACTATTATCTAAATTTTCTCAAGATAAACATAATTTAAACTCTAGCCAATTTGAAAGGCCACTTAGGAAGATAATTTTCAGAGGTACACAATTAACCCTGTTAATATTTGGTATATATAAACTGTATAAAGAATCACTGCTGTCATTTGCATTGTGAAGAAAATTTAAGGGAAGTAATAAAAACCTCTGGATAATGCCTTACACAATGGGAAATATATAATTTTGCTCGAGGGCAGAGTGGGAGTGATCATCTTTTACCCTGCGGGCATTATTTCTAGCATCCTTGTAATACTGACTTGGTTTGCTTAACTATAGTAGACTTAATTACCATACAGTTATGCACATCTTTTTTTATCCAGGCACACCCATGCTGAAGTCCTTGGTAGAAGTGAATTTTCAATAATGGCTATGCTTTAACTCCCTGAGAATCTTGTTCTTGTATTTTCCCCTAAAAATTGCAATCATTTGTATCAGTAATTTTCTATTATTCTGTGTGTCCACCATTTAAGCATTTAATCTGATGGACTGATATTAAAATATAATTATGTTAGCTAGTTGGAATTAAAAGACCACTTCATTCACCAGCCCACTATGACTTAAAATCAACTCAAACATAATAAAACTTAACATAAAAAATCACGAATCAACCAATAGTTCTTCTATTCTTTAAATTCGACAATTTCATAAAAATTGGGGACTATATCCTTAAATTCAATGTGAGTTTCAAATAACATATCGATTGACTGGCAGCTAAAATGCTAATAAACTGTGATAAGAAGTGAAGTTTCCATAGCTACAATCCAGGTTATGGAACATGATTGTACTTCTAAAAAAATCAGAATAAAAATGATTTGTAATGGCGGAAATAAAAGTCTATGACTTCAGCATTAAATAATTGGGCTGATGTTTTACAAATACTTTGGAGCCTTTTGAAGAAAGTAAAGAAGATGTAAAGGTAATATATAATTTTTAAATGGCCAACTTTTTCCCCCTGTTAATTGATTTTTGCTTTAGATTTTTTTAATCTGACTCAATGACACCAGTTTCCTATACTACAATGAATATGCAATTGAGACCATTAAGCTTTATTAAGCTAAAAAGGTAAAATACTTATCTTGTATGTAATTAATTAAACTTAAGATCAGTTTTTGATTGATTAAAACATAATTTCCCTATTTCCTGGCTTTATTGATTTCTGTGATTCATTGGATACCTTATCTTAAAGGCATGATGATTTGCATAGCATGCTGGTCAGCCACCTACTCATTCATCTATACTCATACATACATTTGAAATTGCTATTGCTGCCAATCTTCCTCCTACACTTCTATTAGAATAAAATTAGCTAACATTATTACATGCTTACTATTGTTGAACTCTATGCTAAATTCTTTACAGCCATCACGCCCCTTAGTCTTCACATTAGCAAGTGGCAGGAGAGCTTATTTCTATCACTTTATAACTAAGAGTAATATACAGCATATTGGTTCAAAGTCCTACTTTGTTTTGATTTGATTTTGGTTTTCAGTAATCCTTTCTGTGGCTGAGGTTTTTAAACTTTCATGTAGAGATGATAATCACAGTTGTCACTGCTTGAATTTCCAGGCTGAGATTAACATGGGCCTCGTGATCTGTGATATTTGAGTTACGATGTCAGGCCATCATAGAGAACCATTTTGAAAAAGAATGAGCATCAGAGGAATTATTGCCAAGACAAATTACATTAGAAATGTGTATATCCTTGATGATTTCTATATTTTGCTTGAATACTTCAGATTCAAGTAAACTTAATTTAAAATGTAAGGAAAACACATATGATAAAATGTTTCTTCCAAATAATTATATAATTTTATTTGAAACTGAACAGAAAAGTCTTTACAGTGCTCAGAAATAAATGAAGCTTTGTTCATCTATGTCTTGTTGGTATACGAACACATTTTTGTGAAACAAAGATATGACTCTAATTACACAAACCAAATGTTTATCTTCAGGTACTTCATTATATATGCAGCCTTATGTTACCTTTCAGTGAAAAAAATTTTTGTTGTTTTTCCTGCTAATTTGGTTGCTTTGAGGAATTGTTTGCTACTCAGGCAACATTCATCTCATATTTATGTAAAATATTCTGATAATTTATAATTTCTAATGAATAATTGTCTCCAAATTGATTCTACCATAACCATTGGAGTTTGGGGCTGACATGATATTAAAGACAATTAACAGAACCTTGTGTCCCCATGTCTTCTCATGCTGCAGGGAGTGTTCCTTTTTACATGAGATCTTCCAAGATGATGAGTTCTAATCCTGAGGAAGACCCTTTGGACACATTTCTCCAGTATATTGAGGATATGGGGATGAAGGCCTACGATGGCTTGGTTATTCAGAATGCATCGGACATTGCTCGAGAGAATGATCGCTTGAGGAATGAAACAAACATGGCCTACTTGAAGGAAAAGAATGAAAAAAGACGAAGACAAGAGGAAGCAATAAAACGGTAAATATAAATAAAAGTGTTCTGAGTTTTACACACATGAGAAAATCTGTGAGTTGTATACAGGCTGTGATTTCATCATCTGGTTGAGAAAGGGACCGTCAAAGGCAGACTCTATGAGACAAAGTGAAAATGGCTCCTCAACTATGACAAAAGCATAATTCATTCTACTCACAGAGCCTCATCTTAGTTACCAAAAGTTATTAACTTGACTGTTGTGCTTGTGGAGATGCAGATGGGATGGGGAAATAATCCAGTTTCCTATAAATAAAAGTTCATACTGAACAGTCTCTTGATTAAAGCACAAGAGATCCCACAACACTTCAATAGCTAATGCTTGATGACAATTCTCACCTTTAATGTGTTTTGTTTATAGTTCGTACCTTATGATAAAGCTCATCTTATCTCTAGATGATAAAAAACAACAACTCATCATTATTTAGAATTAGGTGAGCCTCTGAAGACCAGTGAAACACTCAATGTGTGCACTCTGTATAGAATTTTAGGATTATTATAGCTCTCGCTTGGTACCAAGTATCCAAGGTTTGTTCAAATGAAATGACTTTCATGCTGCAGAACCTACCAGCTAAAAGTCAGAGAGTCCTAGATTGCAGCTTTCAAAGTTAGGCTAAGTTTCCTAGGGCACTGAGACCAAAGGAAATATAAACATCTTTTCATTTTTCAAAAGAATATTACTGTGTGTGTGTGTGTGTGTGTGTGTGTGTGTGTTTAAGGGGTACATGTAGAGGCATGTGTTTGATGGAGTTCTATTTCTTCAATGGAGACCACTTACTAAGTGCATAGGTGCAGAATTTAGATAATCAATCCATATCTATTAGCTAAATAACTAAATCATAATAGTTAAGCTCTTTTGATAGTTGATGGATTTAAAAAAAATCAAATTTAGCATCAATGCTTTTGCTTACTCTCTGTGAACATTATGATAGTAAGGAAAATAAAATATTATTTTAAGGAATTGTTCATGCTTAGAAAGAAGTCAGGTAAGAATGTACCGCTTTGATTATTTAATTACAAATAACTAGCTGTTGGAAGAGAATTCTAAGCAGAGTTCATATATTCCATGAAGGGGACAAGGTATCATGTATGGGCCAACACAAAATTGGAAGGATATAAGTTCAGACTGGTAGTAGGCCAGTTAATGTGGCCTTATAAACTCTTATGTTTTATTTTGAAAGAGAAAAACATTCATAGACATGTTTAGCAGAGGTGTAACATGATCTAACTAAATGTTTTTTAAGGATTATTGTTTTCTTTGCTTTGAATAGATGGGTGGGGCATAGATGAATGGAAGAAATTAAAAAAGAATGCCTTTGCAATAATTTGGGTGAGAAATGATGATGGTTTGGACTAGGTGGCATAAAATGATCAAATTATGAGCATCATCAGAATTTTCTAATTGATGAAATGTAGGTGTTCATGAAGAGAAAGGAATTAAAGATGGTTCTCAAGTCTTTTTTTTTTTTTTTTTTTTTTTTTACTTTGCTAGACTGTGCCTTTTTTCCTCCCTGAACAATTAGAAGAATGATGTTTCCACTTAATAAAATAATCAAAACTAGAAGAGGAGTAATTTGGGTTAAATGGTGGAGAGATAGGAGTTTAGTTTTGGCAAGTCAAATTTGTAAGCTTTTTTAGATATCCAAATGAAGAATTCTGAATAGGCAGTTGGAATCCAGGATTCATGGTGAAGATCAAAGCTGGTGTATAAGCATCATATTCTAAAGAGTTAACAAGCATGAGCCTAGTTGAGAATACCTAAGACCAAAAATTAGATAAGGATAAAAACAATAGGAATTGTTCCTTGGCCTACTTAACTGCTTACTTGAAAGGAACAGTAAAAGAATCCAGTAAGAACAGCCAGTGGAGAGGAGAAGAACCACAAAGGAGTGACATTTCTGAGTAAAATGACAAAATTGATGAAAGGAGAGAGTGTGTGTGTGTGTGTTATGTAACAGATAGACCAAATATGTTGAAGCCTGATGATAACTGACCACTGCCATTTACCAAATTGGTATGGTTGCGTGGAGCAATTTCTTTGGAGGGTTGGGGGGACAAGCATACTGGGATTGTGTTCATAAAAAAGTGGGAAGAAAGAAATTGAAACAAAATATAAAGAACTACCTTGAAGACTGAGTTAAAATATTTAAAAAAAAACACGAAGGGTAGTTGAAGAGGGAAGTGTAGTTTATGGTGCAAGCTAATTTTTCTAGTTTTTCTTTAACAAGAGAAGAAAAACAGCTTATTCAAAATACTAATATGGCAATAGAAAGGGACATGCAAAATATTTATGAGAGGAAAGGAAAATTATTGTAATTATGTCTGAGTAAGCTGGGAAAGGATGGGATCTATAGTATCTCAGATAGAAGTATAGGCTATTTAGCCATGTGGGAGAAGGGATAGCACAATACGTGGATGACTGAATGATGAATACATGAGTGAGTAACTCTGCATAAAAAGGCCCCACACCTGGTTCATCATACACCAAAGACCATTTTATTATTGTACTCATACTTGTTATATGTGCCTGGAATTGGAGGATGCCGTATGTGTGTTGCTATCAATACTTCTTCCCATAGTTTCCTAGAATCTCCCTCAAACATTTTTCTGGAAGCCTGATTCAAAGTGCAAATATCTTCGGAAGGGAAATAATACTAGGAAAGCATCCTAAATTGTGGAGACTTCTTAAATGTCTTTCTTTTTTAAAAGAAGAACCCATGTACAGCATGAGGACATAGCAGTCTCTGGAATCATTATGAGAGGGGTTGCAGAGAAAAATGATAAAGGAGCCAAATGTTTGGTGATTGGACAGGAGGAAAAGACTAAAGTGCATGTTTTATAACAGGTCTGGCTGTATGTACTCAAGTTGTCCCATCTCAGTAGCCATTGCAATGTCCAAATTCAATTTAATTTTGTTCACATGGTGACTAGTATCCTGGATTCCTGGCATATAATAATATGTTAAAACATATAACCATCTTTATATTACAGAAATCTTCACAGTATATTTTTAGAATTGCTTCAACATTCCCAATAAGAAATTTATTTTGAATACTTTTTAAAACCCCATAACAAGCATTTTAGGGTTTTAGAGATGACAATAGAAGCAGATGCCCTCATTTAAATTCCACAGGTATTTTAATATTTTTAACATGCAATTTATGTCAAGTTGTAGAGGAAATTTAATGTGACATTAACGAACACAGTCTAATCAATTACAATTCTTTATCATGCCTGCAAATGCCTTCTTTCTATATTATGATTTAATATGTAGAATACAAATGCTGGAAATGTAAGGATGGGCATGTTTGACCTTGAAAAGGCATTGATGATAATACTCTGTGAAATATGCCAGTTGCAATTTCAGAAATGTGCAGACTGCCAAGGATTGCTTAAAAAATGGAAATAGGATTTCGTATGATTGACCTTCTGGATCACATATGTGCTGAAATGCCTTTTGTGCTGAAGCTGAGAAGCTTAGAACACTGAGCTCTTAGAAAAAGAATATTCTGCCATAGCCTGTTTGGCTCAGTGGATAGACAGAGTGTAGGCCTGCGACTAAAGAGTCCCAGGTTTGAATTCTGGTCAAGGGCACATGACTGGTTTGCTGGCTTGATCTCCAATGGTGTGCATGCCGGAGGCAGCCAATCAAATGATTCTCTCTCATCATTGATGTTTCTATCTTTCTCTCTCTCCCCCACCTCTGAAATCAATGAAAAAATATATTTAAAAAAATAATATCCTCATCACTTCCTCAGTGTTCTAAGTCACAAAGGCTTTCTAAGCCCAACTCCTATTTTTGAATAAATTTGAGCCACTTGTCAGTATGAACTGTCTTGTTTCTATATTTTCACTTCTCACATGAGATTTTACCAAAAGGTCTTATGGGTGAAAAATTCTAAATAAATAAGAAGATACTGTTAGTGCTTTTCTTAACCGCTCCAAATAAAAATTGGTGAGAAAGAGAGAGAAAGGCTTAAAAGAGAAAAGTTAATGGAGAATAAAAACTTGTTTCAATAGCTCATCATTTCTGCTATTTTAAATCCTAATGGTTTTTGTGCAGGCACTGCTAAATGAGATTACTTTTTATTAAGAAGTCTATAAAAAAACAAATACACATAACATACAGCTTCAGACAAGTGAGCTTCTTTGAGATGGGTTACACAACCCTGGTTTGTTGGATGTGTCTGAGTGAAAGGGATGTTTAAAAAAAAAAAAAAAGAATGATGGGTATATTGGACCATTAACTCAGCACAAGCACCAGCCTTTAAAAAGGAAGCAACTGGCCAATGAGAACAAAGTCTGGCCACAAACAACCTATAAGGCAGAACATAAGGCCTGGTGTAGAGGTTCACTATTTACAGGTAACACCTTGTTTACAATATCAAATAAGGACGTTCACTGAGGAGGATGGGCAAGCAAAAGACCATCTGGCATAAGACCATCTGGCATACCAAAACATGCTTAAGTTTGTGGTTTCCTTTAAAGTAAGTTTTTCTTTCTGGATTCTGAAACCAATCTCTTCACCGTTTCATTTTACCATGTGCCACTGCATCTTAAAAACTATAGGGTGGTTACCAAAGGGAAAGAGGGCTGGAGGGAGGTAGAAAAGATTTTCTCAACTTTATTAATCAACATCAACCCCAGTAAATTAAAAAAAAATTAAAATACGGAGCCTAGCCAGTGTGGTTCAGTGGTTGAGCATCGACCTATGAACCAGGTCATGGTTTGATTCCTGGTCAGGGCACATGCCCGGGTTGCAGACTGAACACCCAGTAGAGGGTGTGCAGGAGACAGCTGATCAATGATTCTCTCTCATCACTAATGTTTCTATTTCTCTCAACCTCTTCCTTTCTTTCTGAAAATAAGATAAAAAATTTATTAAAAATAAAAAGGTAATATAAATACAAAAAATATTCCTTAAAAATAGCTATAAGATTTGTTCCCAGTACATGTCTTTGTGAGTATGTTTTCTAATACAGGGAGGG